TTTGATGTGCTACACCACACTATTATCCCCAGCTTCTCACTGCAAGCCCTCCACAACCAAGTGGCAAAGATGTTATTATGAAACTCAAGTGATCAACATTACCAGTTTCTAAGAGACACTGGAGGAAAATAAATTAAAACCGCACTCAAAGGCCCACAATAAGGATAAAACCAAGTCTTAAGACAACACCATTCATTCAACTGTATGGTAAAAATACATCATTCTGCGTTTCGGAGCGTCGAGCTTATGATTATGCATTATGCTTATCAATGTTATTAAACTTGCTGGAGGGATTTCTGATGCTCTACTTGAATACACACAGTCAATTAGACCATCTCAGATTTAAAAAGAGCAAGCCTAATTGCAATGTTTTATTGAGTCTTTGCTTGAATGGCTCTGATAAAGAGGTCTTAAGCTGCCTTTTGGCACAGCACGGATGAAATAATTTTCACATCAATATGATGCTGATGAGAGCTATTCATAATTCAGGGGTTCAAAATAGCACTGCCCACTGTCGTACCTGTTATATAATCAACCATATGTCATTAAAACTACATTTTCTGCTTTCACATTATTATACTCACTGAGCAACAGCTAGCCTTTTTTATACCATTTAAACTTGCAATAACTGATAACTGGCCACCCGAGGGCAAAGTGAACACAATAAACACAACAGAGACATAGTGTCACCTTTTAAGTTAATTTGGCAACTTTGTTTGCAAACAACTGCCTATTTTCATATCCATCTGACACTGATCAGCATTCATCTAGAGTCATGTGTGTGTGTCCACCTCATGAATGTCAGTCCAACGTTCCCCACTTACTCCCGAGGGAACTCTTTGGCTCCTCAGCTGTTAAATGTTCCAACACACATCCGCTAGTTGCTAATTACGTCCGTCTGCTGTTTGGTCCTGAGCAGGTAGTGTACAGTGGAAACTATAAAGAAACTAAAAACAATGCTACGAGAGCGGTGAGAGTGAACCAAAACAGTAATGTGTGTGCGCCCCACTGAAAATCAAAACAATGAGCACTTTAAAGCTCTGCAGAGCTGTAGATTCATCACACAGTCATTTGATCCGTCATTGATATAAAATATGGATTGTAGACGCTATTTTGATTTGGTAAATTTGACTTGAGCAGCGGGTTCCTGACCTCCATCTGCTTACATGATTAACAGGCTGTACTGAATCAGGCTGTGAAAAGCGGGCATGAGTTTAAATAGGTGTGATGAAAGTGAAACCCTATCCAGTGGCACTCTATACTTGGCTGCACGGGGCATCTGAGGAATGATGGCGGTTTCAGTTGCTTCCAAAGCTGTATCATAACAACTGAATGGTTTCTGATTTGAAGGGCATGTCGGAACAAGTACCTCTGTCTCACCCACAGCGGCCCTTTAAACAAGAACCCATTACAAGGTTTTCTTGCCTTCTTTTAGTGGCGAGAAAAGCAATCCCTGACAATGGAAGTCAATTAGTGGGAAACACAAGTAAATACTGCATGAGAGCAGAGCTTTGCAAATCAAGGCTCTGAGCAGGGTTTGTACACTACGTCTTCATATGTCAAGGCCGTGGCTGCCTGCCAGCTAAGTGTGTTAGTTCAGAAAGATATGCGAAGTCAGATGAGTGTTGACAGTCAGTCAATTGTCATTCAGCCCATCTCCTAGCCTCTCGGGACTCATCTGCCTTTTCTTTTTTTTTTTGCTTTTTTTGCTTTTGCTCCTCTTCGCCGCTTGCTCTCCTCACGCTCCTCTGCCTTAATGCATACTAAAATGCACAGTGGAGACATGAGGCACTGTGTTCAGTGTTAATAAAAAGGTAAAAGCTCCCACGCTCTCTTTTCTGGTGCTGCGGCTGTGACGAGCAGATGGGTCAAAGGACACAAACTCCCGGAGGTGAAGTTTGGTTTTTCAGCTGTTTAGAAGCACATTGGATGAGAATTGCTCTGACCCTTAAGTGCATGTGGTTAGTGGTTCAGAACACCTCATCCCATCTGCTGCCCCCCCGGCTCTGCTTTTTAGTCCGATATGTCACTTAGCTGTTCTTACTTTATGCCAAAGATGACTCGAACAGATGTTAGGTCTGTCACTGTCCATTTTATTTCCTGACATCCACGTTATCATTTCAAGCTCAAGTTGTAATGAGGAATCCATTCGTCCTCATGCTTGTTGTTGTGGTTACACATCAACACTGAGAGTTGACCTCTGACTAGCATAATTCAAGACATGACTCATTTCTTATTGAAAATATTGGAAGCCATTGTTGGGTAGGCTCATTATAGCCAAATTGGGCTGAATTGTGTTTTTTCCTCCCTGTCTTTGTTCTTGGCAGCCGACTAAGTGCTTGCAGCTGTCAGTTGAGTGTATTCTCCTTGCCCAGTATATGTGGCTTGGCTGCACTTTCACCTGGCTTTGTCCTTACTGTGGTGACAGTATGCCATGACTGATTTCCGTTGACTCACTTTCATTGTAACCACATTGTGTCCCCTCACAGAAAAATCCCACTGCTTTTTTCACAAGTGGTTGATCTCATCTAGTTAACGCGGCAGAGTAACTGGGCTTTCCATGCAGTTGGCTGATTATTTAAGCAGCGCTCCAAGCAGTTTGCTGATGAAATGAAAGGAGAGGAGATGCCAGAAATGATTGTACTGACAATGGCACAATGCAGGATGATGTATGATGACTAAATGGTATTTGGATGTGGTGGAGATTGACTCAACTTTCTCACATCGCATGAATCTTCTAGCAGCAGTTCTGCAAGTACAAAGAATAAATGAGCGTTAAAAACACCTCTTATTAACCCGCTAAACTGATATCGGCGAGTCCTTGTTTTCTACAGAAAAAAAAAAAAAGAAAAGAAAAGAAAAAGAAATGGTATTTCAAACCTTTTCCTGCCAATGCTTTCATGCAAATTACTCACATTGGAACCAGCTTATCTGTGAACAATCATAGGTGGCATTTGGAAGAGGGTGAAATAGCATCACATGATTTTCATATCTGCATAAAGCTCAGTCAGGTCCCTGCACACAAACTCCCACGCAAAAGCAAACACAAAAGCCTCTTTGAACGCACACATTAGCTGTTTATCTTAAAATAGTCCACCACACTGCTGTTCTTATCCAGTACCTTGCACGTTGCACTTTGTAAATGGTAGGCAATTACACATGGCGCATTAAGGAGTTGTTATTTAATTCATTAGATATAGCTAAGTTGCAAAGTTCATTCATTCTAATAAAGCAGCAACTTTTATCACACGGGGCCAGGTATGAGTATAAAGGCTGAGATTACAGCATCCATGTGCACAAATAAGATTAGAGGACTGGCTGAAAATGCTGTTGACAAGGTGAACAGGACAGTTGTTCCAAAAAAGCAAAAAAACACTGGATGGATGACTGTGGGTT